TTTGTTTTTTTGCGATTTTTGGCGTATGCGATCTCGAAGCATATATAAACAAGTTTGATAGTTGGATCATTGAAATTAGTTTTGTAGAATGTGTATCCCATTAAAACGATAGATTCACTAACACATATAATTTATTTGTACTTTCATTAAATATAACATAAGATTTTGTGGTATCCACTAGTGTAAATATGTTAAATTGAAGATCGAATTCATTCATTGTATTCATATAGGGTTAAGGAGTGTAGCTGTAAAAAATCATCAAAATTGGAGTTAAAATAATCGTTAAATCGTGATTTTTCGTTTATAATCGTTGAAAAGTTTTGTCCCCTTACTTGATATCTGAATGTTTATTTTTTGCCATTTTTGGCGTATGCAATCTTGAAGCATATACAAACAAGTTTGATGGTTGGATCGTTGAAATTAGTTTCGTAGAATGCGTATCCCATCAAAGCGATAGATTCACTAACACTTATAATTTATTTGTACTTTCATTAAATATAACATAAGATTTTATGGTATCCACTAGTGTAAATATTTTAAATTGAAGATTGAATTCATTCATTGTGTTCATATAGGGTCAAGGAGTGTAGCTGTAAAAAATCATCTAAATCGGAGTTAAAATAACCGTTGAATAGTGATTTTTCGTTTATAACCGTCGAAAAGTTTTGTCCCGTTACTTGATCGCTGAATTTTTGTTTTTTTGCCATTTTTGGCGTATGTGATCTGGAAGCATATATAAACAAGTTTGATGGTTGGATCGTTGAAATTAGTTTCGTAGAATGCGTATCCCATCAAAACGATAGATTCACTAACACTTACAATTTATTTGTACTTTCATTAAATATAACATAAGATTTTGTGGTATCCACTAGTGTAAATATTTTAAATTGAAGATCGAATTCATTCACTGTATTCATATAAGGTTAAGGAGTGTAGCTGTAAAAAATCATCAAAATTGGAGTTAAAATAACCGTTAAATCGTGATTTTTCGTTTATAACCGTCGAAAAGTTTTGTCCCCTTACTTGATATCTGAATGTTTATTTTTTGCCATTTTTGGCATATGCAATCTTGAAGCATATACAAACAAGTTTGTCAGTTGGATCGTTGAAATTAGTTTCGTAATATGCGTATCCTATCAAAACGATAGATTCACTAACACTTAGAGTTCATTTATACTTTTGTTAAGTATAACATAAGATTTTACAGTATCTACTAGTGTAAATATTTTAAATTGAAGATTGAATTCATCCATTGTATTCATATAGGATCAAAGAGTGTAGCTATATAAAATAATCAAAATCGGAGTGAAAATAACCATTAAATCGTGATTTTTTGTTTATAACCGTAGAAAAGTTTTGTCCCCTTACTTGATCTCTGAATGTTTGTTTTTTGCGATTTTTGGAGTATATGATCTTGAAGCATATATAAACAATTTTGACGGTTGGATCGTAGAAATTAGTTTCAAAGGTTGCGTATCCCATCAAAACGATAGATTCACTAACACTTAGAGTTTATTTATACTTTCATTAAGTATAACATAAGATTTTGTGGTATCCACTTCTGTAAATATTTTAAATTGACGATCAAATTAGTTCATTGTATTCATATAGGATGAAGGAGTGTAGCTGTAAAAAAATCATCAAAATTGGAGTTAAAATAACTGTTAAATCGTGATTTTTCGTTTATAACTGTCGAAAAGTTTTGTACCGTTACTTGATATCTGAATGTTTGTTTTTTGCGATTTTTGGTGTATGCGATCTCGAAGCATATACAAACAAGTTTGACAGTTGGATCGTTGAAATTAGTTTCGTAATATGCGTATCCCATCAAAACGATAGATTCACTAACACTTAGAGTTTATTTATACTTTCATTGAGTATAACATAAGATTTTGTGGTATCCACTAGTCTAAATATTTTAAAATGAAGATTGAATTCATTTATTATATTCATATAGGATCAATAAGTGTAGCTATAAAAAATAATCAAAATCAAAGTTAAAATATATTAATTAATTTTATGTATTTTAAGTATTAATTAGACTAGGTTTCAATTAGAATGTGATGATAGTTTATAATAAAATTATATTTCTGTTTTTTTATTAAGTATTTTATTTATTAAAATCTTAAAATGTTGGTGTCGGTTTTAAGCGACGCTATCATCTTTTAATTCAACGCGAGTTTCATTAAACCGACGCTACATGAATTTTAAAAAGTGTGTCAAAAGTTAGTGTTTAGACCGACACCAACATTAATTTAAACCGACGCTGTGGTTTCCAATAAAGAATGTCAGACTTCACGTGACTCTCTCTCTCTTACACACGCATCAGTGTCACATCATTTTTTATTTTCTTTCTCTTTGGTCGGTTCCTCACATGGGTTCTTTATCTCTCTCTGACACACATGCCTCATTTCTCTCACATTATTATTTTTTTTAACTGGTTCTTCTTCACCCCCTCTTTTCCGTCTCCATAATGTCTCTCTTTGTACCCACACTCAAGCTTCTTTCATCCTTCTCTCTCTCATTCCTATTCTCTCTCTTTTTCCTCGACTTCTCCATTTCCTATCCCTCCATCTTCTTCTCTTTTGGGCGGGATATTTCCCCCCCCCCCCCATTTTTTAAAAGAAAAAGAGGATATCAGTCTCCCTATTTCAAGAGGCTCACCTCCTTCATTTATCTCTCCCTTCTTCCAAGCACACCCTAAAACTACAGCTCCTCTCTCCACATTTTCTCAAACCCTAACCTCCTTTTCTGCAAACCAAACCTTAATCTTCCATCATCAACCCATAAGACCTTGCAACCATGGATTTATTGCATCACCAGAAGGGTAGCAACACCGATCTTGGTGCCGACACACTCAGGTAAACTTCTCACCCTCCTTTGCCGATTCATGCACTCAGGTTCACGGATTGAAATATACCATACAAGAAAAAAATCTTCAACTCCTCATGCTTGTGTTGTTTCTCTTGCAGGGACCCGAGATCTGTACAAAAAAAAAAAAAAGACGATGCAACCATTGGTACAGCCCCAAATCGCATCTCAAGGAAAAACCACCAGAGAATGGTCTCCGTTCTAGATCCGTCATTTAAAGGTATAACAACAAAATCTATTCTAATTGGATGATTTCGTAGTGAAAAGGTAGGAAGAATAAGTGGAACTCTTGATGTATTTATAACCTTCCATGTAGCTATTAATATGTGAATGCTAAGCAGTCTAATGCATGACTCACTAAAGCTATAATCTCCACTGAGCTCCTCTTTTATGTTCTTGTTCAGTAAGATCAACAGTTTGAAAATCCATATAAAAATTCATGCATGTTCATTTTGGATCTGAAGAGCAAGGACACTGGAAATTTCAGATCCATAATTTTTGAAAGGTATAAAACTTGAATTTAATCTATAGAGATTAGAGCCCTAATGTTGAAGTAGTAAAGTATTGGAGCACTGATCTGATGGCAAGCATGGTTGCATGGAGCTACTAGTATTATATATGGCAGCATAGAGCTACAGAATCTATGGTCTTCGACAAAGGCAAGCACGGGAACGCATTATGGTAGCTGCTAGTATTATACGCAAGCATGGAGCTCTTATTAGTATTATATGTAATTGTTAGTTTTTTATCTTCATCTTGTAACCAGTTCTCTAATAGCTTTGTACTTACTTGTTTATATGAAATAGAATGCATTTAACAAGAAATTCTACACCCAAAGACCTCAGTTGAATTCTTGAATAAATTAATTGAAATTTATTATTTTGATTATATAAATTTTTTTAGGTACAATTAATTGAAAACGAATGTAGAGACAGATTTCCAAATATTTTTATTACTATTAACAAAGGTGGTGTCAGTTAAAACCGTTACTAGTTTGCATATTTTATTTATTTAATTGTTATCTGACGTCGGTTAAGGGATATTTTATTTGTTTAATTTTATCATGATGTTGGTTAAAACCGACAATAGGTTGAATATTTTATAGTCGAATTACTAGTACACGTCGCTTTAAACCGACGTAATGTTGAAGTATGCGTCGCTTTAAACTGACGCAATGTTGAAGTATACGTCGCTTTAAACCGACGTCAACATTAGTGTCGCTTTTAACCGACGTTGTGTAGTGGCGGATTAAGCAAACAAACCGACATTGAAGCCCTTTCGTGACGGTAGTATTAGCGTCGCTATTATAATCCGACATTACATTGTTTTATGTCGGATTTTTGCCATAGTTCCGACAAAAATTGGATTTCTTGTCGCTTTTTGCTTCGCCGGTGATAGCCTATGTTGTAGTAGTGTATTATTATTATTATTATTTTGAGAAAATTCAGGTTTTAAAAAAAAAATTATTTTATTTGCCGCGTGGCAGACATTTGGTAGCCACGTGGCATGTAAGTGGCAGCCACGTTAACATTTAACGGATCAATGGATGGAAAATGTAACGGATGTATTATTTTGAAATAAAATAGTAGTTAAGGTATGAAAGTGAAATGTTTTAAAGATGTTGTAATGAATTGAAATAGTCCCCAAACCTGAGGTATAAAAATGTAATTTACCCATTTTCTAATTATTGGAAATTGTAGTACTCTTGCTTTTTAGTTATAGTTATATTACAGTTGTGTGTTTAAATAACATTAGCGAATAACTATTTATAGTTGTATTAACAAACACGATATACATTTATGGTTTATTGCATGTCATGTCCACGGTAGATGGTCACTACGTTAATTCTTGGTACAAGAGATGCTCCAACTCCAAGAAATAAAAACTAGTAGCTTGTACAACTCCACAATCCATATAATGTTTTACAAGTTCACAACACAATACATAAAATATTGAAATGCAATAATCCAGCAACAAATTGACAAACTGGCAACACAAAATCTTTAAATCTGCACATAAAATACAATCCAATGGTATGAACAAACCAAAAACCCATCAAGCTATGGATCCCATAATATACACAATCACTGCATCCTTGTATAAGTTTGTTGATAAAAAAGAGAGATAAATCATTAAAATCTTCAAACCAATCAATTATCTCCAGTAGTGTTTTCTATCAAGTGACAAGGTTTGTGTATGTAAATATAACAATCTTGTATAGTACATATAGAATGACTGCAATGACAATTTGATCAGCAATGAAAACTGTCTTACAATTCTTCCTAAAATTTGAAACCAGTGGAACTTTGAGTTGTATGGAGAAAGATGCTTGGCTTCTACTGATGTCTGGGACAAAGATCATTTCCCCTGAAACACATTTAAATCCCTGCATGCTCCAAATCAAAAGAAACCCACGTAAGTTTTGGGCACTGAATGCAAAATGGCAATAGCTGGAGGACTAGAGCTTAATACATGAACAACATCCGAGTGACACTGATTTCAGAATTTTGTGACAAAAATAAGCTTTTAAAAAACTAAAAATGCTTTTGACAGTGTTCGATAGGAAATCATTATAAGTATATCAAGGTTTTAAATGTGTTTTTAGTTCTATTAGAAAATCACCTTTGCTCGTTCTTTTCAAGGACATACTACTAAGCGTTTTAGTAAAAAAAAAAAAAAAAAAAAGTCAACCTCTTTGTAATTAAAACCTGTCTGTTGAGAATGAATCACACATTGATGGAATGGGCGATCTTACACAAACTTATAAGTAAGTTGTGCTACTCTTCGTATTGTGAATTAATTTTATATTATAACCTCAGCTTTCTTAACTTTCAACGAAGATACTTGTAGGCATAAATATTTTTCTTATAAGAAGTCTCAAGCGAGTTCTAAATTAAATGAATGAAGTAAAAGCTCAGCAAAATTACCTCTAGTTGCCTTCCAACAGTGATGACTAGAGTCTCCGGCCCTGCATCAAACAACAATGCAGGGCCTCCCTCTGATCCGAGGTTAAACTGAGAGTGCTCAAGCGGAAGGTGAAGGCAAAAAGCATGTTCATCATCGTTCTCACGCATGTGAATTTGACTGCCATTGATTATCTCATTCTGTAAATAACTAGGGCTTTGCCCCATGGAATGATCTTGGTGATTGTATCTTAATAACTTTACGTTTCCCATTTCACTTCTCATCTCCTCAAATTGCTTTTCTGCATTTCCTAAAAAAACTTGGCTCAGCTGCTCAGCAATTGCCTGAACTTTTCTTGCAACCTTCTCCATACTGTTACTGCAAATCAATGAACAAAAAAAGTTATGAACTTCACTAAACTTGGTTAATTGCAAATTCGGAATTTTCCAAGTCGTCACATGAATGTTTACTCGAGTTGCAATTCGCATATTAAATTTTGATGCAATGTATCACCTTACTAATTAGTTGCAATTTTCACCTATGGTTAACTCAGTCAATTCTTTCGTGACAAGTTAAAGTTTCTACTACAATAATTTTCTTGAAAAAATTATGCGTATGCAAAAAATTGTAAGTAAATGTTAATTCACACGACACAATAATTCAATAACAAATTGCGACTCGGAGCAAAGTAGCAATTCGAGACGTTGAAACCAGAAGTTGTTAATGACACTCCGAAAAAGTCATCCTCTTAACGATTTCAGAATATTGTATAAGGGCCAAAAACACTTCCATTTGCAATCAATAAATAAGACTAGTGCTTCGGGGTGCTTAATTACCAAAAGTCTCGATATCTTTTGTCCTCCGATACCTGTGGGCGTCATTTAATCTCCTCCCGATTCCCAATGCGTTCAACGAAGCGTTTCCCGATTACTCTGCCATTTCCGGAAACAGATTGGGCTTTCCGAACCACGGATCCCAACTCCTCGGCCGAAATCCCGTGATTGCTGATCCGAAACGCGCCGAACTGCTTGGCCGAGGCGAGAAGCCGGGCGACGGACTCGGCGGAGAGCGATCGGAAGTCGACGTCGGCGGGGAGTTCGTGACGTGTGCCGGAGGCAGAAGGCGGCAACGCGATGAGCTCGGGGATCTGCAGGCACTTGTCGAGGAATTGGGTGAAGTTCTCGTTGGACGCAGAGCGGGAGCCTCTGCCGGTTGGGATCGGAGAGGGAGGTGGGACCGCCATGGTGAAGCGGCTGTTGCCGCGCATTATAGCCATAGGGGCTTAGGATAGCAGCTAACTGAATCGGAGTGGCGATCAGTATTCAGTGGTGAGGTGGATTGATCAGTTCATATGAAACATGAAAGGGTGGCACCTTTTTCTTTAATATAATTTAATTTAATTGCTTGCACGTTGGACGTGTTTTGGACTTTTGGGTTCCAACAGGATCCTCACCGGATCTTTTTGGTGGGAATGGTTAAGAATTGTAAATCGTGTATGTTCATCGTATATCGTGCGATTAGTTTTTATCAAGTATTGTTTATGTTTAATTTTAAATAAAAATATTTAAAATAATTTTTAACCGCATGATGTACGATGTACAATGTACAATGAACGGACATGATTCATAGATCTCCGAGATCCTCACAAAGAGGATCCTGATTCTTTTGAATTTGTGAGTTGTTAGTTTGGAATGAGGATTATGGGGATCTTCTCATCACATTTGTTTATTGTACATCGTGCGATCAGAAATTATTGTAATATTTTTTTATTTAAAATTGAATATAAATAATACTTGACAAAAACTGACCACACAATATACGATGAACAAATATAATTGGAGGATCCCCAGGTCCTCAAAAAAAGGATCCGGCGAGGATCCTCTCATTAGTTTGGTGTCATGGAACTCATGGGCCATAGTGGCATTGGAGATGCTATTGGCTCAAATTTTGTGACGACTTATGTGAAACAAATTTATTATTGCTATAAAGTTATGTTTCGGTAATATAATGTTATTGTATAACTCTCTATTTACATGACATTCTTTTATTAAATCAAACGTTTTGAACTCGTTCTGTGTAAATAATCTCCCCATTACACAGCTTAAAGCCCGTAACTCCACCTTTAAGAGCTTGTCCACTTCAAAATACATTGCAAGTGTAAAGAACCTTGTAACTTGCCTCCCAAGGAAACTAGAACTGCTAGCTTCCTGGTGTTTGAAAACCAACGTTCTCAATTGTCCCAACAGTCTTAAACAACCGCCTCTTGTTTACCTCCTCCACCAGTGACCGGTGCAACAATTGACTGCGCACGTCGATGAGTGATTGAATCTTGGGTAATTTCCTTTCCTGATGATGATTCAATTTGTGAGGTCTCTGGTTATCTAGTTGTGAATTGCATTGTTTGTAAGAATTTGCACCCCTGCTTTCTGAAGGACAAAACCGAGTAGATTTATGAGTAGCCTTTCCGAAGCTCACGTCATGGAGATCATCTTCATTGCCTGAGTAGTAATTTATGTTGGAGTAGTTGCAGGAGTCGAATGAACTCTGAGAACTTACATCATCATTCATAAACAAATCACCTACATTTCAAAAAATAGATCAAATACATTTGAAAAAATATTAGACAAGCAAGACTAATTGAAGTAAATATTTTTTAATTTTTATAAATGTACCGTGAAGCAAATGATGATTCTTGCAGTGAGATCTGAAAGAATGAAGAGAATTTTGGGACGAAGAGCACAAAGAGAATGAGTAGAAAGGATGATGGTTGACACCACCATCATCGTCATCCTCTTCTTCATAGTTAAAGCTGTGCTGATGAGGATGATAACCATGGGGTGAGCCCCATTTCGTGCGACCCGGAATCAAAGAAAATATCTCCTTTTCTATCATCCCTGCAATCTCTGGTGGTTGCCATTCACTGATTTCTAATTCTTTCACCATCTCCGTCGCTACATCAATTGCAGTGTCGTTCATGATGTCAAAGGGAAAGTATATGTTCCTAGCATTTTTCCCTGCTAAGGAAACATCACCAACACAGAAGGTTACATACTCTTAAACTTTGAGGGTCTGTTTCAATCTGCTTGACCAGTTAGTCATATAGTGCAAGGTGTATATTAGGTTGAGGATTTACCGTCCAGGTCAGAAATCCGAACTTTGAGAGAAATGGTATCATCCTCTGGATTCATTTTTCCGGTGATGATCATGTTTGTGCTTCTTTCCAAATCAACCTCAGCGGAAAAATGTAGCTCATCCTCCCCGTCCCCCGCCTCCGCCACTGGATCATTATTAGGAATTAACTCGGGAATTGAGATTCTTGGAGGGGACGCTAGCTCTCCATCATCAAAGGCTAGAAAAGGGTCTAGCAATAGCTCGTGTGCCGGTAACCTCTTTGAAACATTCTCCAGACACTTCCCGACAAATCGTTGAGCCTCCAAATCTTCGATCTTGTAGAATGCGTTTGGTAGCTTCCCCTGCAAGCAAAAGTCACATAATGTAATGTAACGTAATGTCACCCATTCACATTGCTAATCAAGTGAAGACTAAACTTACTGAAGTAACTTTCTTGTAAATTTGGGCAGGATTTGAGCACTCGCTATAGGGATATTCTGAAGTAAGCATTTCCAACACACACATGCCAAAGGCATATATGTCTACTAGCTCATTGTATTCCTCATCATACAATTCAGGCGCCATAAATTCTGGTGTACCTAATCAAATAGAAGCAAATTAAAATTGAAAAAAAAAAATTAGGAAGATAATCAGAGAGATCTAGTTTGATATCATTACCTATGACACTGTGGGCGTGTTGTGTACCACGAAGAATAGCAGCCAAGCCCAAATCACCAATCTTGACTTGCCCTAGATGGCCATTAACAAAGATGTTGTCACACTTGAGGTCTCTGTGAATCACAGGCGGATCACGTTTGTGCAAATAAGCCAGACCACGTAAGATCTGCCGGGACCAATTTTTCACTGCACCAATATTCACTCGCTGGTACTTATGTCTGTACCTGTTTAAATTAATACCGGAGTGTGAATTGCTACCCTTACTTTTCGTGTGTGCGCAGAGAGCTTAAAACTTAGAAGTTCGAGTTGCCATACTTCATGATCAACCACTACCTTAACATATTTTAGTCAGGTTGTGTGCAAATTAATTATAAGTTGTGAGGATATTAATTACTCTCTGAGAGTGCCGGAGGTGAACATTTCGGTGATGAAGTTGAAGGTTCGACGATTAACATCGATCCACGACTTGTAGTATTGGATGATGGAGTCATGGTGCAGGTTCTTGAGGAGGTGGACCTCGGAGTATAGGCGCTGAAGTTCGTCCGGCGAACTGAAGGCATCATTAAGCTTGACTTGATTCCACGCCACCTCCATTCCGAGGACCTCATCAAATGCCTTGTAAACTGTCTTCATGGCTCCTTTGCCAAGCATTTCCCTGAACTGCTTGGAAAGAAAAATTAATTAAGAACAAAAGGGCCCTCTTAATTAGCGTTAATGATCTGACCAATATTATCATCAAAATTAATTATTCTATTTCCAAGTTTCATTGGAAGCATGTTTTTACAAATTATGTTATTTTTCTTGGTCAAGACAAATTATTACCATTAAGCTTTGTATGCATGCATGATGGAAGACTGTTTCAGAAGAAAAAGTCCGGGAGCTCGGTAGCTCGATCGGCTCCAATATATTGCATCCATCAAATAGGCATGCAGGACAAATTTAGGGTCGAATATAAAAATCCATCAGGCTGCATCATCCAATTGAGCTAATTTAATAAAACTGATCGGATGACAAATTTCAATTTTAAATCAATTTAAATGAATATCATGTACAAATTAACATGACAGTTGACCCAGCAAACATAGGGAACTGACTTATTTAACCATCCACTTGGTTTATAAATTATATTCGTGTTCTTGTAAGCTATTGGTAAATGAAAATATGAACTTATGTTAATATTAATGTTAACAAGGACTCATTTGGAGTGCTTTTAAAATGATTGAAACGTTGATTGGTCTCAAAAACATTCACACCAAAAGTGCTTTCAGCCATTTTAAAAGCAATCCTAAAAATTTTAATTTTGAACCAAGCTGACAGGTCAGTTTGTTCACAATTTACATATTTTACAAATCTTCAATTAAAAATAAAAATTTTCACTAAATTGGCAATAAAACAGGTTAGTGCTCTGTTTAGTGTCTCCTTAGAAAAACGTGATTTTTTATTAAAGATTTGTGAAAAGTTTTATGCATAGTTTTTCAAAAATTTATCATCATATGGTATCGAATTCAAAAACGAGGTAATTTTCTTGCATGCAGATACGTGTAAACCTTATTCCCTATATAAATTTCCAAAAGAGTTTTGAAGAAAAACTCCATATAACTAGACATTATATTTCCCAAGCAACTCGTTAATTAAAGACCATATATAAAAAGAATTAGTAAATAAAAAAAAAAGAAATAGTAAAAGGAACTTACACGTCCATATCGACCTGATGGATCTGTTTCAACGTATGCAGGTGACTGTGGCCTGCCTCCCATGGCAGACCTGCTTCCGATCCGGCTGTTGTTTTTGTTCATGGTTAAGAACTAATCAAGCAAACCTCAAAAACTCTCCGACCACAAACAAGTCCCAGCAGCTTTTCACTTTATTATATACTACGAGTACAACGTATATACCTAGTAATTATAAACATATAATTCAACTCTAACAAACTATAAGGCTTGTGGAAGACTTTTCGTTACTTGCTACGAAATCCGAGGCTTTCCCTCATGATTTTCATAGGAGAAGACTCTAAACAGCAACCAGAAAAGCCTCGAGTAATCAACGCTGAGCATGATCCAAGCCATTTCCACAACACCAAGCGGACGTTGGTAGTTTTTAGTAACCATTTGTGTAGAAGATGGAGGTGTGCCAAGGAATTTAAATATGGAGGAAGAGTAGAGAGTTATATCCGATTCTAATCAAAGATTTTTTTTTTTTCAGAAGAGACAGACGAACTGGAGCAAACTGTTGAGCTGTAGCCTGTAGGGTTTGGTAGGGAAGAGAGAATAATATTTGTCAACTAATGGGACTGGAAATTGATTGAACCTAGCTTGTGGAGGAGGACTATTTTCCCAATAATTTCTAAAAATTTAAAATATCAAATGATCATATGTTGGACTTTAGCATGGGACTGGAATATTAATCCTGAACTTGAAAAATCGGTGGCTGTGCTTTGATGTTACCATTTGTGGATGTAGAAAAAACCCTAATATCAATCAGAATTGTGGAAACATAAATTGAGATTTGATTTGTTTGAGAGAGACTCTTGAGTTTGGAAAGATATGGGAACCTTGCAAATTTTGCAAACAACAATAATATGGATAGCAAAAAAGAAGATTGTGGTGGAAAAATGTTGGGGTGGGTTGATGTTATAAAAGAAAACAGGAAGGACATTTTTTGGGGTTTTTATTTTTATTTTATTTTTATTTTTTTCAAGTAAATTGTAGTAATGATCCCTTAATTTTAACTCAATTAGAGCAATGATCCTACAACTAAAAATCCATTACCATTGCTCTCTCAACTCATCAAAACGTGCAGCTATAGTCTCTCAACTAAAAATCCATTACCATTGGTCCCTCAACTTTAATCCAACTAGAGAAATGGTTCCTCATTTTTAACCCAATTGGAGCAATGATCGCTCAACTTTAACCCAATTGTAACAATAGTCTTCCAACATAACTTATTTCGACAAAATTCTAATGAAGTTGACAAAAAGGACTATAGTTATACGTTTTGATGAGTTGAGAGACCCTAATTGTAGTAATGGTTCTTCCAACATAACGTATTTTGATAAAATTCTAACGAAGTTGATGAAAATGAACATAGCTACACATTTTGATAAATTGAGGGACAAATGGTAATGAATTTTTAGTTGAGGGATCATTGCTCCAATTTGATTATAGTTGAGAGACCATTGCTACAATTTACTCTTTTTCTTTTTCTTGTTCTTTGTTTTTCGCATGGGGTCCCCATTTAACTGAGCTGACGATACACTATGAATGGCTAAGATGTGGATCCCCGCAAAGTAAATCAAGATGGGATCCAATTCTGTGGGTTCAATACCAGGTACCCACTTCAGCAATATTTATTTATTCATTTAACTAAGAAACTTCATAGATAGGATGATATATTGTTTTCCTATAAAAATAAAGGGTCAATTATACAAAACCATTTTAACTATGAATGGAACCACAATCTCATACCTCATATTTTAAACATTGCAATGTCATACCTCAATTTATGAATTCGTTGCAATATCAGAGCACCGTTAAGTTTCTATCAATTTGACAATTAAATAATGAATTGACAAGTGTGGGCCCACTCCGTTAGAATAAAAAATAATTAATTATTAAAAATTAATAATTTTTATTTAACAATTAAAATTAATTATAGGAAAATCCCATCTCCTCCTTTCTCCCAGAAATCACCCCCCCTCCCCAGAAATCGCCCTTCTTGTTCCTCCCCTCACTCCCTCCTCCCTCCCCTTCTTCCTCATCGTCCATAAACACAACCAATTTTCGTCCTCCTCCGGGAACCACTGATGCACCACCGATCGTAAAACGCCGGTCGTCCCCCTTCGGATGGAGATCAACGCCCCTTTCCCGCGGGTTCCACTCCAACGACTACGCTGACTTCCTCGCCTCCGTCACCCCCGAGGCTCTCGCTGATTCCTCCTCACTTCAAGTTGCATCCAACTTTTGTATGGGTTCTTAGAGAACATAAATATGGAGGAGCTCCCTGCCCCATCCCTTCACCAACGAACGAAGTCTGCAAAGCTCCCTGCCCCATCCCTTCCTCCGTCGACCCCCGCTCCCTCCTCTAACCGTCGATCCACCCCAACCTCCTGCAATTTTCCTCCCTTGATTCCACTCCCCACCTTCGAAAACTTAAATTATGGAAAAAAGAAAACCCATGTCCACAGATTATTTTTGCCACAGATCTCGTTGATTGCACCTTTGATTTAGAATTAATCGATTGCATCTTTAATCGCCGTCAATCTCACTGTGACGACGGATTCGACGGTTGATTGCGGGACTAGGGATGGGAGTGCGTTCGACAGTGGAGAGAGTTTGGAGGATGGTTACTGTGTTTAAGGAGGATGAGGAAGGAGGAGGGACGGATGATGGATTGAGGGGAGACGGGGGGCAACTTCTGGGGAGAAAGGAAGAGACAATTTTTTTATTATATTAATTTTAATTTTTAAATAAAAAATTAATAATTTATTAATTTTTATTTCAAAGGCCTGCGCACGTCATTATATAACAGTCAAATTGACAGAAGTTTTAAAGGAGGTCTGACATTGCAATAAATTCATAAGTTTATGTATGATATTGCAATGTTTAAAACATAAGGTATGAGATTGTGGTTTAAATCATAATTGAGGTAATTTGTGTAATTTACTCTAAAATAAAATAAAATAAAAAGCATAGTAGAAATTCTAAATTCAAACTATTTAAAATTAAGATTAAAATTTAGGGCATGTGGTCGATTGCTCCTATAATTAAAAAACAAAACCTTTTCTGACCAAAAAATTTGAATTTTTCTCTTTGAACCTGAATAAGTCTAGACGAGCAAGTGGTGATTGCTGTGATGGTTAGGGTTTTCTTCATCGGCCTAGTGCGTCCTAGATTCTCGCTCTTTTCCCTCCCTTTAAAGTAGTTTAAACTAAAAATATCGCTTGATTTCAAATAAAATAAACAATAGCCCAGGCAAAGAAGAGGTCTCAAGAAAAAGAGAGGATAAAAACATTACATTGAACAAGAAATGAATGAAAACTAAGAGAAATTATGGAACTTCCGGCGCTTGCACGTTGATTGTTGAATGTTTCCTGTTTCTGCATCACCCAAACATTTTAGTCCGATAAATATGAACCATTTGCATTGCCCCCGCACAATCAGCATTAAATGCTGGAAGGCTATAATACTGCCTCAAATCCAAATTCGTCAAAAATCAATCATGATTTTATGTGAATGCTCTCCTTAGATATTTTATCGTGAAACTGATTCATCACATGATAAGTATCTAACAAACAGATAACATATTACTTAAACACATAATGATCATCATCTATGTAATTAGTACCGCCAATGACACTAAATATTGGTTTATACGCGATACGAAAGGACAAAAATTAACATATGATTTCAAATTTAGGGATAATTCTATAAATAGTGGACTATACCCTGATTTATCCGCGAACCACTGTCTATTTAATATTCCCGTCTTTTTTTAATTAGAAGTTTATAACGGGCCCTGTGTAGATATTCCCCAAAAGATGATGTACAAGTTTGTAAACCAAATCTTTTTCGTTTGATTTTTTTCTCTTTTCCAAAGGCCAAATCTTGCCTTTCTTTTTCAAAGGCCAAATCTCACCGCCCCAAATTGGCTCTACCATGCCATTGCTAGGGGAACAAGATATCTCAATACCCCAAAGTCGACCAAGTGGACGCCAAAAATATGGTGATTGGGGTAGGGTAGGTCCCTAAAGCAGATTAAAGGGGCAAATAATTAGTCATCCAAAGGGCAATTGTGTAGAGCAGACTGCCCTTTTGCACCACTGAGTAGACAAAAAAAAGAAGTTAATCCGCATCTGTGTAATTAAAGCGATTCTGAATATAAGTTACATCAAACATCAGCAACAATATTTTGAACAGCGTTCGTACATTTACCCGCGCGGGCAATGGCGAGAACAAAACCTGGGGAAAAACGATTAACCAACCAACCTCTACACGAACTACTCACTCGGTGCAGAGCACAGCTATCGGGATTTTTAAAGGGTGTAAAACTTATAACTTGAAATGTACAAATGGCTTCCAACAAGCAGAATATCTAACTCCATATGTAACGCTTCCAAAAAATAACTGCGGCAGAGAACAGGCTCGATCCGGTATGTTAGCAATTACTGTAAACACTCTTTCATTCTACTGACCTTATAGATAATTCTCACGCTGCTGTCAGGCCGATAAAGGTGGGAAATCTTCCTCATCTTTCAAACGGTATGATTGTGGAGCAATCCTACATGTCCAAGAACAAAAGGTTAAACGGAGTCCTATCTGTGTTCACTATCGGTGGCTAAGAATTCTTAGCAACGACAATGGAATTATAATACCTGTTAGGATCCGTAACCAACTCATCTTTTGTCAACTGCATCTTTGGTGATGACTGGCCACTACTCGAGTTTTGAACGAACGATGAGCCAGCGTTTGCATGTTTGCCATTTGCAGGTCCCTCTTGTGGGGCATGCCCCAATGCCCCAAATTCTATAACTTTCTCAGAGGAATGCATTGAACCATTCATATTAGGGTGTACTTTCCTTCTAGGGGAACCAATGTAGCTATCTGCAGACCCAGATTTCCCCCCACCTTTATGAAGAGACATTTGTAGTTGTGACATATCACGACTGCTTCCGTCAAACGTATAATTCTCTAGAGGTGGTATCATGGCATGGCCATTGTTACGTGGAGACTTTGGCGGTGCTTGATTTCTTCCCCTTGGCGTCACAGGCCTATCTCTGAAATGGTTCTGAAAAATTTTATGCATAAAAGCACTTCAGCTAAAAAGGACCAGCAACTGAAACATTTAGCTGAAAAGAGAAACTGCAAATGGCCACTAGATTGACAAAAATCTGGACCTTAAAAAATTATGACTTCAAAAACAAGAAATTTCTGAGGCTTAGAATGAGTAGTACCGTATTGGGAAAGTAAGTTCCGGTTCCTCGTGGCTTTGGCATCTCCTCCCTGCCAAAGCCTGTGCCATTAGGCAACATTGGTGGGTTCATTGGATAGAATGGTGGTCTAGGGACAACACCATTGACATTCATCTGGGAAAATGCATTCTGCCTGTGCTGCACTGACTCTCGAGTTACATCCCATGGCTTCTTGCCTTGAAACTGTGGGTGCACCGGAGGTGGCGCCATCGGAGGAATCGCCACATTTAGCTCACAATCGTAATACCTACGCCCATACTTCAGACTACGTAAATGACTCTCGTAATCCCCACTCAGATCTGTTACATGGTTAGAAGGTTTGGGACTTCCAGTAGTGCCACTTGACATTGGATAATAACTAGGATAAAAGTCTTCAGAGGAACACACAACAGAGCTCAACCGTGACGGATGGTGCTTAGATCCAACAGGAGATGGAACTTCCTGATTACCACCCAACTGATTCTCATCCTGGTTACTGACCAAAGTATCAGCTGAACCAAAGCTTTCTGGCAATAGCTGATCTTGGTTTCCAGTGCTAATGTCTCCATTTTCAGTTGATGAGTGAGAGGAACAGAGATGAGGTGCATGCTGTGCATGCTGTACTTTACCTAAAAGAGATATACTCACTTCACAACTGGACGGCAAAGGACTTTGAGCAT